CATACAGTTACGAGGAAAAAAACAACTGACTTACGCATCTTTGAGCATCTGAGTCCAGGTAATAAAGACACAGAGCCAAAGGACCAGATTAACTTCATTAACCTGTGTTAGTTTACCGAGTTCAGCAGCCGTAAGTGTTTCTGTTGTATCCTGGACAAGGTACTATCGTGTTACCGTGTGTTAATTATCAAACTTGTTTACCTGGACTTGGCTTCGAGAAAATTGGGTAGGTTGTCATGCCATACCAGTTCTTAACCAGGTTGAAATGATACCTGGAGTTTACCTGGACTAGAATTCTGGGGGTATGTCATTCCTTCCCAGCACATTCCTTTGCCAAACTGTACTGCTTTTACCCGTATAAACGAAGTGATTGGAGTGAACTGGAAAAGATTCATTCGGATAGATTTATCTGTGTTAGTCTTCATGTTCTGACCTCAACCAGGAAGGATTGCTATCACTCAACAAAAATTACTCGCCTTGTTTTGATTAAATTCATTCTGACGTTCCGGGAACCTGTGGTAATTTACACCCTGGAGGAGCGTCTCAGGAACACCGGTAAAGAAACAATTCTCCCACAAGATAAATCTCTGGAAAAAATACCACAAAGCAAGACCCGGCAAAACTTCTTTAACTTGTAAGGAGTTTTCCACTAGTTGCCACACACGACGGGCCGCCACTACTGCACGAGGCAGCCACTCACGCATACACCGACGCCCTCACAACTCTGCTCTCGCTTCTACCGTGTTAACCAAGTTCCCGGGGGAGCACAGTCCGTTTCACTGTTTGATGTAACTAACTTGTTCTAATTGTAGTCAATGTATGTGACGTAGTTTAGCGGCAACGGGTCCACTGGTGTTTTAGAGACATACTTACATACATACATACATCAGTACTGGACCTCAATTTCCACTTCATTATAGTCATTCCACTTCGTAAACGACAATTTCGACAACACTCCCACTTTATTACACTACTAACACATGATTAATAATAACAAGTTTAAAAATCACAAGAAAATGTTAACTTTTCTCATAAGTGAGGAATGGCCACCAAACACTGTAGCAAAATGCGCTATTAAAACTTTCCTCTTCTTAAAATATCAACAAACTTTGCGGCTCACAACTTATTCATAATAATGGTAAATACACGAATAATGTTACCATTTAGCTCATAATATTAACTACGGATAATTAGGACACATACTAATTGCTATTAACATTAAGTAAACAGGAAATAAACATAATACTGTTATATTTTAGGACACATTAACCAAGGATAATCACATACCCATTACCATTTAACATCACCTCAACATTAACCAACTAAAGTCTGTTCCATATCAGTAAATTATATTAACCACGGATAATTAGGACACATACCAGCCTCTATTATCATTATTAAATATTAACACAAAGGTAAAAAGTTAATGACACATTGTAGTACGGAAAGCATTTAAATGAAGACTATTTAATTCCATACAGCTATTTATATATCTCGACAAACTTGTACTGTTTCACTCACCCTCTCTTTATACTATATGTGGAGCCGTAACATTAACAGTAGTAGTAGTAGTAGTAGTAGTAGTAGTAGTAGTAGTAGATGGTGAGATCTTCTAACATAGGACTTCAAACACATCTAATGAAACCCGTGTGGACGTCAGTGCTCGAGGATTCTGGACGCGGGGACAGCAAGCTTTCTTGACATCAGGATTTTTTATCCCATGGCCGCATGTCACCGTAACCTAGCTCTCGATGCTGCACACAGGAGGAACGAGAACGACAAGAGAAGGGCATATGGGGAGAGAATTCAGAACGTTGATCGAGGCAGCTTCACCCGTCTAGTGTTCACAACCTCTGGTGGGATGGGCCCAAGTGCAAGATGTTTCTACGCCAGATTCGCGGAGCTGATCTCCGAACAGAAGCAGCAGCCCAGAAGTTATGTTACAACCTGGATGAGATGTCGACTGTCTTTCTCTCCTTCGGTCGGCTTTGCTCTGCCTCAGGGGAACGAGAGCTTCTGCCCCTACTCCGACAACTGCTGCAGATACTGACTATGAGGCTACAGTCACTGAATGCCGCATGGATCTGCGGCTCAACTACAGTAATTCAACACAGTTAGGATAGCTACTTACTGTATGTATTAGGAGACTTAATATTAAGGTAATAAAATGGTGGCGAAGGTGTGGCTATTAGGGGAGGCTGGAGGCCTTATATATATATATATATATATATATATATATATATATATATATATATATATATATATATATATATAAGGTAGTAGTAGACGTACAGTAGTAGTAATAGTATCATCATCATTACTATCATCAACATATTATTATTATCATTATTACAGTATTGCCAAATATTTATCACCTTCATCATCATCTCTACCGTAAGAATGTCCATAATTACTTCTCATTAAATCAGTCTTCATCACCATTAGCCGCAAGGTCTTCCACGCTGGCAGGCCTCAGTGGTCGTTAATCACCTCCCTCACTATCAACACTAACGCCGATTAGCACTTTCACCATCACTTTCAGCCCTGACCGTATCATCTTCACTTGCAATTATTTCCCCTTTGGAGTTGACGTATCTGCTGTTGTCACTATCATATGTTGTCACAACCTGTCATTATTGTGTTCTTACTGTCACTATCATTTGTTGTCTAGCCGCTATCATCATCATAATCATCATCACCATCAGAAATAGACTCATCACCAACACCACCGCCATGGTCCACCTCCCCATCCTCATTTGTCGTCATCATCACCATCATTATCATTAGTATATTACCTCAGGTGATGTAGATGAATAATCAAGGTAATTATGTGGCAAGAGAGTGAATGATGTAACAGGTCCAGTTTGTGTCAGCCGCGGGGGTTACCTGACCTTTTGTCGGCAGCCTCCACACACACACACACACACACACACGCGCGCGTGCGCGCGCGTCCTTAGTCGCGGTAGTTGTTAGGTTAAAAGTTATGGCAGGTGTTAGGTTAAAGGTAATGGCAGGTGTTAATTGTGAGGTTAAAGGTTATGACAGGAGTTAATTGTTAGGTTAAAGGTAATGACAGCTGTTAATTATTAGGTTAAAGGTTATGACAGGTGTTAAAGGTTATGACAGGTGTTAATTGTTAGGTTAAAGGTTATGACAGGTGTTAATTGTGAGGCTAAAGGTTATGGCAGGTGTTAGGTTAAAGGTTATGATAGATGTTAAGTTAAAGGTCACGGCATGTGTTAATTATTAGGTTAAAGGTTATGACAGGTGTTAATTGTGAGGCTAAAGGTTATGGCAGGTGTTAGGTTAAAGGTTATGATAGATGTTAAGTTAAAGGTCACGGCATGTGTTAATTATTAGGTTAAAGGTTATGACAGGTGTTAATTGTGAAGCTAAAGGTTATGGCAGGTGTTAGGTTAAAGGTTATGATAGATGTTAAGTTAAAGGTCACGGCATGTGTTAATTATTAGGTTAAAGGTTATGACAGGTGTTAATTGTGAGGCTAAAGGTTATGGCAGGTGTTAGGTTAAAGGTTATGATAGATGTTAAGTTAAAGGTCACGGCATGTGTTAATTATTAGGTTAAAGGTTATGGCAGGTGTTAATTGTGAGGTTAAAGGTTATGACTGGTGTTAATTGTTAGGTTAAAGGTTATGGCAGGTGTTAGGTTAAAGGTCACGGTAGGTGTTAAGTTAAAGGTCACGGTATGTGTTAATTGTTAGGTTAAAGGTTATGGCAGGTGTTAGGTTAAAGGTCACGGTAGGTGTTAATTGTTAGGTTAAAGGTTATGGCAGGTGTTAGGTTAAAGGTCACGGTAGGTGTTAATTGTGAGGCTAAAGGTTATGACAGGTGTTAATTGTTAGGTTAAAGGTTATGGCAGGTGTTAGGTTAAAGGTTATGATAGGTGTTAGGTTAAAGGTCACGGTATGTGTTAATTGTTAGGTTAAAGGTTATGGCAGGTGTTAGGTTAAAGGTCACGGTAGGTGTTAAGCCAGAGTTCAGTGTAGCTCAAGGGAGGGGTGATGGTAGGTGTTGGGCGTGACGTAGTGTAGTGTTGTATTAAATTAAAGGCAGGAGAGGTCGGTGTGATGGGCGGTGTGGTGGGCGGTGAGGGTGTCGAGTGAGTAGCAGGGTGAGGTAGGTGTGTGTGTGTGTGTGTGTGTGTGTGTGTGTATGTGTGTGAGGTGGAAAAATAATGGATTGGAGGAAGTATTGTGGAGCTGATAAAATAAAAAAAGGAGAGAGAGGGTAGGGGCTGTGTTCATGAGAGATACGCGGCAGCAGTAATTACCCTGGAGAGTGTAATGGGAGCATAATACTATGTTCTGTTATGCACCGCCTTTGATAGACTTAGTAAAACGTGTGAAGTGGCATAATGTTCTCAGGGTGATTAACAACTTGCATACATTTGTTCTCTCTCTCTCTCTCTCTCTCTCTCTCTCCTATGCAGTGATTGGGAACCCGGATGTCACAAGTAGTATCCTATATATCTCTTACCTCTAGTATTGGGGCAAGGCCTTCATAAACCTATTGTAACTGACTCATCAAGCGGTCACTACCTTAAAGGGGACAGCAGGTACAGCAGCAGCTCTGGCATTAATGCTTCCTGTGTCCCTCTATGGTGAACGGGCCCACAACACTACCTATCAAACTGTTTACGTAATTCGCTACGTATCTGAACAAAAATATAGTTAGGTTTATGAAATACTAACAAGAAGGTCTGCCACTGACAAGGTCTACAACTAACAACAAGGGCCCTGGAACTAACAACAAGGGCCCTGGAACTAACAACAAGGGCTCTGGAACTAACAACAAGAGCCCTGGAACTAACAACAAGGGCCCTGGAACTAACAACAAAGGCCCTGGAACTAACAACAAGAGCCCTGGAACTAACAACAAGGGCTCTGGAACTAACAACAGGGGCTCTGGAACTAACAACAAGGGCTCTGGAACTAACAACAGGGGCTCTGGAACTAACAACAAGGGCTCTGGAACAACAAGGGCTCTGGAACTAACAACACTGGAACTAACAACAAGGGCTCTGGAACTAACAACAACTGGAACAAGGGCTCTGGAACTAACAAGGACCCTAGAACTAACAAGGGCTCTGCAACTAACAACAAGGGCCCTGGAACTAACAACAAGGGCCCTGGAACTAACAACAGGGGCTCTGGAACTAACAACAAGGGCTCTGGAACTAACAACAAGGGCTCTGGAACTAACAACAAGGGCTCTGGAACTAACAACAAGGGCTCTGGAACTAACAACAAGGGCCCTGGAACTAACAACAACGGCCCTGGAACTAACAACAACGGCCCTGGAACTAACAACAAGGGCTCTGGAACTAACAACAAGAGCCCTGGAACTAACAAGGGCTCTGGAACTAACAACAAGGGCTCTGGAACTAACAACAAGGGCTCTGGAACTAACAAAACCTAAGTATGTTCACCATAAAGAAACACACAACCACAAGCTTTTTCCAAGTCTTGTGTATCTTTACGATGCTTCAATACAAACTTTTCGAGGTTTACTGTACAAAGTTTGTAAACTACATTATGCAGCAATCTGTAACCAAAAACGTGAAGGCCACTGTCATATAATACGCCCTGAGAGTTTATCACACATTAGTCTATAAACCACAGGAAGTCCCAATGTACCACACCCACCACAGCTAACTCTCTCTCTCTCTCTCTCTTTCTCTCTCTCTCTCTCTCTCTCTCTCTCTCTCTCGTTATTATTTTGGAGATGTAGTGGCAGATTACTTAACATTTTTACCATGTACTTTTAGGTTAAGAAATAGTTTATTAGTACACAAACACAAATACACACACACACACACACACACACACACCCCTGTTCAACACCTCAGCTCACATGATCTACGTGTGTAAACATTAATCTGTATGTTCACTGTATGTTCCTTCACCTTTCTCTAATGAAGGCTTTTGTTAAACCACCAATGTATGTAATAAGTCATTTATGTCCAATGTATATTTTCAGCCTTCGGGCTGCAAGCTTTTTCAATAAACCGTTTATTATTATTATTATTATTACACACACACATATTCTCTCTCTATAAACCAGAACACGTTTTAAGAATTTCCTCAACATTATAAAACCAAGAATCATAGCACTATATGCAGAATTTTTTTGCCTTAGTCATACCTGTTATGATATAATACCAAGAAATTTACCTGATAACGGTTCCAGGGTACACTCTCCTGCCCTTACTCTACGACCAAGTTTCCCGGAAATCAGAGTGCTTGGAATAAATGGTTTGAAAACTCCGCTGAACATTTCAATAAATTATGAATTTTCTCTTATGTATATTTATATTTTTATGTTTTCATGGGTTAAGCAAATGTTTATTTTCTTATGTAATAAATCGATGTTAACTGTATTACTAATTAAATCAAGGGTCCTCACTAAAGGCTTCATGAACAAGGTATAATAACAAGAGCTACACAGAGGCGTCAATAAAGAACAATAAATACTTACAATAGAAAAAGTATCGCAAATTATCTCTCATTCATTATTACTCCACAACTTGAGGGAATACTGCCACTGCTGGCCACGGTCAAGTGTAGCGTCGGCCACCTTACCTCCTGCATGTACAGTACCTAAGGTTTAGTACTGTCCCTAACGTGTAGCTCTGCCTTTAACACCCACATTAACTTACCGCGGTACAATTCCTAATGTAACAAGAGTATTGTGGTAAATGATAAGGCCGTTACAACACTTACAATTAAGATATGACCTTTTGCCTAACACATTGAGACTTGACTTTGGTGGTGCTCATTAAGTTTGGTGATAATATATATGACCTTAAATACCAGACTAACACATAATACAACTCATAATTAAACCCCTCAACAAACTACTGTACTACTCTTAACTACCAAGTTCAACCGGCAGTCAGTCACCAGACACCACCTCCCCTTCTAAACCCAAATGTGGTTTATCTTCACCTCTCTTAACTTACCGTAACTTTAACTCTTAACTTTAACCCCCACTGAGCATTAACCCTCTCGACTACTAACACCATCAATACACGTGTGATCCTTAACTCTCTCCCGTTCTCTAACTTGAAGCCAAAAGCCTCTCTGAACTGCCTCTCCCGATGCCAGGGAAGTTAAGACCAAGATGCATTTAACCTCGAACTTAGTGAAGGGTAAACTTTGAATGAGGAGAGAGGACGAGATATTGGAGGAGGAAGGTAGAGACCGTGCATCAGGGCCCGTCACTCTCCCCCTTACGATACATCCATCCTCCTGTCAAAACATGTGACGCCGTAAACATGTTTCCCCGCAGATCCCCCCCACCTGACACGCTCACCCAAAACTGCTTGTTGGAGTATAATGTTTTCTTTATTGATCGATTTTTTTAACGTGTATTTTTTTTTTAATATAGAGACTGTTTTAATATTATTGGTTAATTAAGTACATTTTGCAATTTTTTTTCTGAAGGAGACATGTTGCTTAGACATATTTTTCACCCTTATTGACATTTTTCTTCACCGATAGAGTAAACATCTTGCTCCCTTGGCTGGGAACACATACTGTAGACTGTTTATCTAATATGGTTTTTTTCTAATTTTGTTTAAACTTATCTTCAGGTGAAGGTCTCCCCAACACACCAACCATTAAACTATAAAACTCTGGTTAGGTGAATGTTTTTTATTCTTATGAACCATTCACCAGTTCCTAGAAGCAGCAGCAGGTGTGTCTTTTATACACGGCTAAAATTAATGATATGTTAAACTCGGTGCCCCAGTTGATGTTCTCCCCGTGTAGACCATCAACTCCAGGACTGGTGATTTACGTTGAGTTTTCACCATTTCTTACGGTAGTTATCATAACTCTAGTATCAGTAATCATAAGAGTAGTTGGTGAGGCTGTCGTCTGTACCGTCAAAACACACCCAGGAGGTGGTGGTCCCGCGGGAGGAAATTAAATTGATATACTTATCTTATAAACTGTGTTAAAAATATTACTTTATCCAGCAGACTCGGGACAACACACGTTTCTTCCACACTTATTACGACCTGTGTGTTTGGTCACCATGAACTCATGTAACATAACAAGACTGTGTGTATCACCCCTAGCTATACAAGGTGTAGGGTATCAATATACAAGCCCTGGTGTCTTCCAGTAATTAAAATACAACGTTTGGAATATTCTAAGTGAAGCTTCATCTGTATGTATTATATTTCTTATTTTGTTTCATTAGTAATGAATAGATAATTTTTAAATACGACGTCACATACACTATTGCCACGCGACATGTATGATATCCCAATTAATAATAGTAATCAATATAAACTGTGCGTCAGAGATCAGTCACATGTGAGGATGAAAACTTGGATATGTGAGTGGTCGTCCTGCACACCTGTACTAGTTTAGGAGTCGTCACCATCTTGCCCAAAAATATATACGTATAAAAGGTTGATTTCACAGGAGAATCAAATACATTTTTAGTATTTAATGATATTACTGGGACTCTGTGACACCCGCACAATAATAATAATAATAATAATAATAATAATAATAATAATAATAATAAATATAATAATATTGTTATTAACAAAATAAAAATGTGATGTCGAGTCACCAGAGGACAAAATTATAACAATTTCACATCTCTTCAAAAACAACTTCATCGTCTTATCCAAAATGCTTGAGAAATATTACCAATTTATCTTAAAAGTTGGTGACGCTCGAACATTTTCCCGCCATATAGACACCATCAATCATGTATTTTACCTGTGTGGCGAGGAGGGGAGGGAGGGGTAGGGAGAGGAGGGGTGGGGAGAGGAGGGGTGATGATGGGGGGAGCTTTACCTGTACAAGGATGATGTATGATAGAGCGTCAAGCAACAGGGAGAGGCAGTCGAAAGCGCCGTGAAATCTGATCATATCCCACCACTCCAAGTGCTTGACGCCCGCCATTTGCCTCTAAATATATCCACAGTTTCACTTTCTAGCGGCGATCAAACTCCTACACTTGTATCATAAATAAAACAAATATACATGTGTACGTGTGTATGTCAAGTGAGCCAGTCAGTATAATAATTAAGCTTAAATAAATAGTACAAAGCAAAAGTCTCTCTTCCTCCTCCTCCTTCTCCTTATCCTCCTTACCATCATCCTTCTCCTCCTCCTCGTTCTTCTCCTCCTCCACTTCCTAACCACCATAAATGTTTGTCTCTGCACTGTATCCATATCTGGTGTCTGACAGAAAACGTAAAACTTGAAATTTTTTATAAAGACATAAAAAACGAATATAAACATAAAACTTCGAAATAAACCCAAGAATAAAATAGAGAGCCTCAACTATCATCACATCACATCTTGCGACAGGCATCTCCCCTTGAGCGATGTAAGATGTTCGCGATGTGTTAACCACTGTACAGTAGAATGTGGTCTGTAATTCTTTCTGAAGTATTAATTGTAATTTTACCTGATGTACGGTGATTTTTTCTTTGATTCGTAACGATAGATTTGAGAGAGAGAGAGAGAGAGACCCCTAGCCCCTCTTTCTATAAGACACACCCTGCCCACAGTAATAACAGGCCTCCATCATCTTAATCACCCTCTCTATTCCAAAGGTTCACGATATTATGGAACAATTTCCTGGGACAATAAAAGTGTAGTTTGTAGCGGTGGTGGACCAGGGTTGCTGATACTGCTGACGTGCGCCTCTCTCGTTCCCACGTACACAGAAGTTTAAGGCGGAAGTGGTGGGATTCGCTAATCTTCGGAGCCGGAACTTGACTTAAATATAATAAAATAATTTAAACTTACGTAAGACTAAACAGTTAAGTTGTCCTTACTGATATGAAACCCAAATGCAACCAAACTTAACCTAACCAGAATTAACCTAACTGACCCCCAAATGTAATCAAACTTAACCTAATCGAAACTAACATAATACAAACCTTACCTAAGTACAACTAACAACCTTTGTCAACATAACCTAACCAAACCTACCTAAACCTACATAAACACGGTGAATATAACTTCAACTGTTTTATTAAGTAAACAGCTAACCTAACCTAGATTAGTTAAGTTTTAATTTGGTGATTTGAGTTAAATTTCGCTCTAGTTCTTTCATTTTTTAATTCTATTTCTCTTTTTACAATTTCTGGTTAAAGAGAAACTAATTCACTTCCGGGTTTGGGGATTATTCTGGCCCGGAAGTGACCTAGTTGTGTGAGCCGCCACCCGCCTATCACTTTATCTCTCATAATATTCTTACCAATATTTTGCAGCCAAACAATAAACAATGTGGAATTTAATTTTACCTCAGTTTAATTTATGTATTTACTTTACATTATTGTTAAGTAATATATAAATATCCTTTTACTTTACTACCTAATATTTCTAAAATGTGGTAGAAATATTAATTAATGTGTTGATAAAATAAATTACCTCCTTGTC